AAACGTAAATTTGCGCGATGTTTTGATGTCGCTCGCGCGAATGATAATCGGCTGTGCAGCTGATTGTGGTGTCGCCGGTACGGTCTAAATATAGCGTAACTGGGTCAACGTACTCGGCGGCGGTGGTGAACCTGTTTGTCTCGGCGGCGTGCGGCGGCGGTTGACAACGGTGGCGTGCGGCGACGGCTTACGACGACGACAGCGATACCGGTTTGAGTATTCTTACCCGTACGCTGCGCTGTTATCTGCGGTACTGTGGTAATGTCGCAGGACGCAAGGCAAGAGTTCGGAGGGGTTGTGTTATATAACGCTATCGCGCTATCTTAATTACTTCCCACGGCCGTTTCACGGTTATTCGCGGTCGCGATGGAATTCCCCTTTTGTACCAGAATACTTCTTACGTAATTCGGACTCGGGGATCCTAGCTAACCGGAAAACACAGACCTGGCTAAAACTACCTTAATACTAATATAATAAGCCTTTATCCGAGGTACCTATGTGTCAGCGTGAATAAAATTCTTACCTTTGCGCTGACTGCTAATTGGAGGTGATTCCTCTGCGGGGAGCCAATTTGACACGGCTACGGCGGTGGATATAGATCGCGGTGAGCCGGTCTTGAGGTGTAACCCACGAACAACAAAAAAAAAAGAACGACGACCACTGGTTCTGGTGTAAATCGATTTATTCGGACGCCAAAGAAAAAAAAAAAAAAAAAAAAAAAAAACAGGGTCATGGGGGGGGATTCGACACCCAAATCCCCCCCCGTAATTACGCCACTGTAAAGGTTACAGTACAACGTAAATATTGTAACTATTGTTCCTATAATAATATGAAATAAACTGTTTACTTTTCCTTAATTAATAGTAAATGTCAGAGTATAAAGTATATAAACACTATAACTCCTAAGACACAAATGGTGGACACAATTATTTTTACAAGATTGAAATGATTAAAAGAGTCAGTATGATATCCAAGTCTAAAATTATAATCATGGTAAAGCAGTAGGTGTACCTTACTCATTCTGAAAAAACATCTCAAAATTCGTAACTATAGATATTATAGTACCTATCTAATTACGACCTTCACCTTGACCATATAAGGAAGGACCGATAACGTAACCAAATTTCGAATCAAATGAATGCCAGTCATATAATATGCTAAATATTGACAGTTTTATGTCTTATAAGTAAAAATTTAAGGTCTTATTTAAAAACAAAAAGTTTTATTGTTCGTAAAAATATTTAATTTCGCAAAAATACTTTAAAACAAATGTGACTAACGATTTTTGGTATTTTATAGTTGTATTAGTAATAGCTTAGTAGCTAAGTATAACTTAACCTTGTATTATATTTTCTTTTCAGGTCATAACAATAAAAATAAAATATCAAATTTTCAAATACTATTTTTAGCACTAAAAATATAAAACTAGGTATGTAGGATCACTAACTATAATGTATTTAAAATGTTTAAATGTACCCATATAGTTACCTAAAAGTATTACCATTTATATTGTGTATTATACCATTATACAAATGTATTATTTCTATTAAACAGCAACTCAAAGTTACCTAAAAGTATTACCTTATTAGCTATTGTGCTTATTTTATAATTATAAAAAAATAATTTTATTTACGTTTAAGAAAGTTTAAAATAACAACACTAAGAAAAGTAATAAATTCTCTTCTATACACATACACATATGTTATACATCGATACTTCTAATCAAATTCTTTACATCAATTTGCATCTAGGAACTGTTTAGGGAGAAGCAAACTCAAAAGTTTTTAAGTTCATGGACCACTCACGTCTATAAAACGCAATTTCGGTTAAGAATCGGAGTACTGATTGCACACCTTATATTTAAGGTCAGTATACCAAGTGCGCTTGCATTCAAATTATTGTTTTATTTTCAGATATAAAAATATTGTTGTTCGCTCTAATTCCTTTAAATTTAATTTTAGTTGATTATTGTTATCATATTATTGTAAATAACTTTGAATTGCAATAATGTGTTGTAAACCGTTATATTGTTTGTAAATAAATGTCACACCAACAATATTCATTGAATGTGAAAAAAACTATACATTTATATACTTTGAATAGTTTCAGTACAAGTTCTATAACCTAATAGGCAAACTATCATTTTGATTTTACAATACACATTTTATAATAATTTATTGTAATGCACAACAATATAATAATGTAATGGTGATTTATATCATTTTAATCATACAATTGTGTATGTATACATATTATATAAATTACCTAGATTATTTCGTTAGATATTGGAATACAATAATACAATAATACGAACATATTATGGTGTATACTGTAAGTATATATGTATAAAAATAATACATTTAAGTATAGATATCGATGAGTGTTTCCAATTATAACTTACTAATAGGTTTTCCTTAATGTAGGTACCTATGTATTTAGTAATCAGTTATAATAATTACAAATGGCTGAAGTCATGCTATTTAGTCAATTGATCTTATTGATTTGAGTGAGTGAAATATTGGTAAATGGAAATGTAATTTTAAACGCAAATGGTAAACTTCCACTTTTCCTATATAAATGAAAGATTCCACGATCCCCTTGGTTCTTACTCCAACTCCTTGATCCATAGCTTATCAAATATGTATTGAAATTCTTGGTAGGTAATCCTCCAAAGGACCAAAACGCTTGAAGCGAAAATGGTGTAGTGACTTGTTAAGAGGACGCTAGACTGACTTATTTTGTTATATCTCCGTCTTACAAATGCGGAACATTAAACATATCAAATTTTACGTTCAGCAGAACACGTTTATCTCCGCCATAGTTTAAAAATTATAGAGAATTGACCTCCTATAAAATTTAAAGTTAAGATTAGTATCTACTATCTAGGGTATCTAATGGGTTTTTATCATATTTTAATTTTAAATCGAGTAATGAATATTTTAAGTTGTAAATTGTTTATACATCTTAAAATACTCTTAACTAACTTTAAAATTAAAATATAATAAGAAGCCTGAAGGATGTTTTGGATAATAATCTTAACTTTAAATTTTATGAGAGGTCAATCCACTTTAATTTTTGAGCTACAGAGATAAACGTGATTTATTGCACGTAAAATTTACTATTTTACTCACTTGTAAAATGGAGAGTTGAGACAACAAATGTCAGTGTAGCGTCCTCTTAATATCCAGGGATGGGCAAGATACTCAAAAATGAGTATGGCGATACTAGATATTTGGATTTGGAGTACCGAGATACTAGATACTCGATGTAACTTACATCTTAAGTACTCGATACTTGATACTCGTTACTTACATTTTAAATATTTAGATACTCGATGCATTTGAAAAAATTAGTCATAGCCTACGACGCATAGGATTTTTAAAAAATTTATTTATACACAATTATGTTGGTTATGAATCTAGACAAATATGCATTAAATCTTAAATATCTAAAATGTCTAAATACTCTAAATATTAATTAAGTATAAATATATTATAATAAGTCAATTGTTAAATTACATGAACAAATAATAATAAAAATAAATTATAGATATCATATCGAGTAGCATATGACACGACAATAAACGTTAAATGAATTTAACTTTAAAATTTCAAACATTAATTAAGTATAATAGTATACGTATATTGATAGGTATCATGTCATATTTTTATTTCTTTTTAAAAATACTAATTTTTCAAAAGTATTGTCGGATAATTTATTTTATTTATTCCTGGTAACACTAAGATAAAATTAATTTTTTAAAGTATTCAGTATTTTTTGACAAAATTATCTTGTGAAATACTCGATACATTGTCTAAAAATGTATCGCGATACGAGATACTCGATACTTCTTATAATTGTATCGAGGTACAAGATACAATTGTATCCTAGAAACTTGTATCGAAGATACTGCCCAACCCTATTAATATCAAATAACACAAATAAACCAAACCTACCTAAATAAACCAGTAGGTGAGTGGCTTCTTTCGTTGAATGTATAGGTACCTACTACAATGCACTCAGCAAGTCACCTATTAGATAATGCGTCCTACTGTTATTTACTAATACTTACTAAAAAACTAAAAAAAAAATGTTGATTGTGATTTTTGGCAGTGGCCTACATTGAGATAAGCAGTTTATATTGTATTATTGTGTCTATGTTTATAAAATATGTGCAGTGAAGTACGAACTTAAAAATTCTCCGCATTTTGTCCAACAAACTAATATGATACTGGTTACCACGTCGCCACACAGCTTATTCTTTGAGATGATTTCATTAATATTATAAAGTCGGAATCACCCTCGGTGACATATTTTGGGGTTAAATTATTTTTGACCATTATTTCAAGTCCAATAATTAGGATCCTACTACTAAAGGAGGAATTTTAGGTCAGATGTTACAAAGCGTTTTCATACCTACCATTCAAATTTAGTATGATAAAAAAATAATTTGTATACAAATGATTTATAGATGGGACGTATAGTTATAGACGCATGGTAATATGTATAGAAAGTATTATTATTTACAATTTTAAAATGCTCATAACTTGCTTTAAAATTAAAATATATCGAGTATCTTAAAAAAAATGGGGTCATAGGTAATATTCTTAAATTTTAGTATGATAATAAGTTTTTCAAATATTCATTATATTCATCTCAATAAGTACACTAAAAATAATAGAGTAAAATGTGATATTCTGAACACACGATTAATTGCTATCTATATGTTATACATTAGTTAGTAAGACGGAGACAATACGGATATAATGAGACCAATGCGGGTATAATGTCCTCTCAACAAATTATACAATTAAAATTGTAGAATAATATCATCTAGCTATAGAGTATGTACTCGTATATATATTATATTATCAAATGTCAATGGTCAATGTTGGAATAGATACTTTCAACATTAATTTTTTGTGTAAGTAAGTAGGACACAATATTTTAACATACTCGTAATACATTTTAGTACCTATAGGTACTAAATAAGTTGGCATTTATAATATACATATATATATATGGCACCTTTATGCCAACAATCTACATTAGACAATAATCAATATGTAAGGAATCTGTTTTCCGTTAGGTAGGTACGCACCACGTTATATGTGTGGATGTGATGGTCAAATAAAAAACCGTGGAAGTCGACAAGTCGTTCTTCTTTATAGGTAGTAGATGAGTGGACGTATGGTATGTGTGTGTGTGTAATGTGTACCTACTGAGTAGGTCACTATAGTGGATATTTTAAATTTGAATTCAATGATAAATAATATTCTAAGAATACGATGAAAAACAATTCTGAACAAAGACGACATGCAGCCTATATAGTAAGCCTAAATAGATAATCTACCTATTTATATTGCTTTTAGTAATTTATTTTTCTATTTGTAATATACACAAATGCGGTTAACATAAAAATAATATAATAAGTTGGATTAATTTTTGACAGAAATAAAATATCTCATACCGCATATTTTTTTTTATTGTGTTATCGAGAACCGGGGGAGGAACTAGTGTTGGCATTGCTTCTGCCACATACCGAATACATATAAGCTATAGGTATGCTGGCATATTACGTAATAATAATAGTAATAATTATTATTTTATATATAAGATTAGCTGTATGGCTGTACAATGTACATATTACCCGAATTATTCACCTCGTATTAAAATGAATCTATCTTTCTATCATTTAGCGATTTGCTTTAGTTGAAATATAATTAAAATACAAACATAGTAATTGCAATGATTAATTTAATATTTTCCACTTATAATTTTTATATAATACCTATAGGTATAGATTACAACTAAGTTGTTATTACCGTATAAGTTGATAATGTTAATATAATACCTACTGATATATTGATATTATATGGGTACCAATGTCCCGTGTTCGTGTTAATATATATTTTTTTCTTTTTAATTGTATTAATCTAAATGTTTTTTAATAATTTACTTATTCTCTACACTGTATAATGTGGAGTAAATAATAATATACGTAATGGTGAAAAGTCTAAGTTCCTGTGAATAGTATAAATAATAGTTAATACCTATTTTTTTAAAGTAGTTTGCCTACCTAACTACAACCAAATAACTAAATCGTTATTTAATTTTTAAATATCTAATTATTCTAATTCCGTAATAAATTTAAATTCCAATTATGCACAAATTGTGCATATTTTTACGTCCCCGTAGACATCACGTATCTCTACGTAAGAAAAGTTAAAAAAAAACTGTCCAATTTTAACTAAACTTTTTATATACGATTGATTTATATATATATATCGTTACTACCTATAGTCTATACCTATTGGCTGGTGTTATATGACTATTGAGTATTGACTATAAGTTCCTATATTGGCTATACTATACTCAATGGGAAAAAAAATTCGATTTTTGTAAATGCTCAAATTTATCTAGTACTTACATGTTATTGCTTATTGGTTAAATATTTTGGAGATACGAGGAATTTTTCATGGGTATAAGAAAGAGCTTTTGTCATACTTATATCTGATGTCTTAAGTACTTTATGCAAGGTAAATTTTTTTAAATACAATTTTTACTTGCCATAAACTGTAAATTTAATTATGAAACGACTGAAAATCAAACATTATTTATTAACATAATATTAGAATATAATATACTCAAGTATAAGTTTTGAAAGTTTCTTTCATAACTTTTTTTTTCTACAAATTTATCAGGGTTAAAATTGTTTACGTGTCTGCTACAACTCATATACCTACTGTTGCCCAGCCATCCTTTTTGATTTCAATAATTCTTTACTAGATAATTTTTTTTTTCAGGTTTAATTTTCTTCTTACTAGATATTTCGATTGTTGCTATATTTTTTATAGTATTTATCTTAAAGTTGTCAGATAACGGAGGAATGAGTAGGTGTAATGAATCTTCTTCATTATCGATCATCATCAGATACTCCATTTAAGTTTCGTTTTCGTTTATATTATTAGCAGTGTTCTCCTCTAAAAGTCTAATATGTGACAGTGTGAGATATAATTTTACTATCACATTGCTTTATACGGCAATATTTCTTAAAAATTAAGGGATGATTCTAAATAAATGAAATCAGAGGTTATAATATCTTGTATTGTTAGTTTAGTATTAACAACTGCGAGTTCAATACATTTTATAATATATTTTTTTCATTTCCAACACGGACCGTATTAAACTGTTTGACATTTTATGTAAATTATTAAAACTTTTAGTTGTATGCAAGTATCTATTATAATACCATGTAGTATAGAGAACAACTTATGACGATATTTGAATTAAATATTCAAACCTTATAGGTAGTTATAACTTTATAGTTACAAAAAATAAAAATTTAACATTTTAAACTAAAAAATAATTTGCAAATTTTGTGATTTAACTATTTAAGATATATATATAGTGCCTATTTATTTTTGATATTTTTTAAATTGCTATAAGAACAATTTAACAAGTGGAATCTTTTATTAAATTTTAAGCATTTGACAAAGCAAACAATTTTTTATCGACATATTTTATAGAAAATTTAAAAAAAAGTTGAAAATGCAAATACCAACGAATAGCTTAAAAAGAATTAAAATATTTTATAATATTACCAATTACTATAAACACCATTTTGAATTATACCACGAATAAAAATGCTAATACAGACATTTTTGTAATTTAAAATATCTACGAAATTCTTTTTTGAATTACAGCAAAATAAAAAAATCGTTATTTTACGCCCAAATAACCAATGTCGTCAAATTTGAATAAACAGACATTCATTAAAAAGGCATTTATAGGATGGCGCGAAAGCTGGACGGAAAAAACTCAATTATAATTTATACGACGGGAATGAGTACTTACTGTCCGTTTACCTTACAGAGGGTATGTACTTCAATCGTTTACGATATTTTAATTTTTAAGTGAGTGCTGCAGCTGCTCACATTCCTTGATCAATTTCTAATGATGCGAGGGAGTGTTAGAAGGGTTCGTGTGATATACGTTCCCTGCACATTTATTATTTACTCTGCAGGATGAAAAAATAAAAATAAAGGATCCAGGAGATTAGGTGAATGCCCCCTTCGTTCCCCCCTCATGATTCGTCATGGACAAACACACGCCGAGTGCATTTACAATAATAATTATATTATACGAATCACGTGCGTCACGTGTCGGTACGCGGTGTATTATAATAGTAGTATATGCCGGCGGCGCGCGTTATCGCAGCCTCGCGTGGTGGGACGGACGACCGCCACACGTTCTACCCGGCCGGTGATGCGGACGGTTCGACGGGTGACGACTGTTCGGTGACGGTGGGACGTTTGCTGCCGTCGTCGACGCATCGGCCGCGGCGGCGCTATGCTTTCACATTCACCGGTTGCCACCACTCGCCGGCCGTCCGGGAACGTACGGACGTGAATATCGCCGTGCGGCATGCACTCTCCTCCATCGATGGCGACAGTGTTCGCATTTCCCCGCGCCGCCGCTCCGTGACACCCGCGATCGAGACTACCAGCGCCGAACGCACGCGGACGGGTCACATCCCGTTTTTCGTTACCGTTGCGTTCCGTTGCGTTCCGTCGCGTCCGCGCGAGTGTTATAATATGACTTAATATTATGTTATCGCCGTAACCGACGCGCGCCGCCACCGCCACCGTTCTTTGTGGTAGTGTTTCTGCGCGCGCGTGTGTCTGCGCGTGCGTCCGAGTGAGCGTGCGTGCAGCGCTACACCAGACCGCACTACCGCAGTCCGGACGAGACGGTGTACGGCCACTACAGCACATCGCGCGCGTGAGTTGTTCGCTACCGACCGACCGACCGACCGACCGACCGACAGATAGACAGACATCGAGAACCGATCGAAAATAGACGTTTTTCCGCATTACAAAAACTGTGGTATTTTGTTTTTTTTCTCTCGATCGTTCGTGTCCGTCCCGTTCGTCCCGACTTAACCTCCATAGAAACCGGTGCGCGTCCCGTCGTCATAAGTGATTTTGCTCACCGTTTATCGCGTTTTTTATGAGTTGAACTGATCGGAACACGGGGTTCCCCCGTACCCCCGAACGGCTTTTTCCCACCTCATCCGTCTAATCGCAAATAGGCACACGAGATAATATTATTACAATCGCATAGCAAACGGCCGACGAGGCACCAGGTGCGTTTTTTTGGTTAAAATTTTTTTTTTGGGATTTTTCGTTTTTGTCTTGCCCCGACCACAGGTCGGCACAGCACAGCACACCATCATCGTCAATCGTTAGTACGCTCATCGGCCGCGCTATGTTGGTCGCCATGACTGCGATGCTCGTGTCCGTGGCGGAGTTCTCTAATATTCTGTCCGTCTTGGCCGTGCTCATGTGCTTCTGCGCCATGTTCCTGCTAATCATGAGGTAAGTCCGCTACCGGTCGCGTTATTATTTATTAAAGCAGGTGTGATCAGGCGATCTCGATAATATTGTATGCACGCTTGGCACGGTTGTTGGTCAATGTTTTGGCCCAATTGTCGTGTTCACGGTTAGGTGTTGTGTATGTATATTGCATACCCGTGCAGATGCAATAAGGCGCGCAAAATGAGTACCCGAGTACCGCGTACCGACATTGTATTGTCGGGAAAAGATAGTACCTACAATCGATCAGCCACAATGTTTTCCACGGCATAAATTATGTCAAGATGATAACGTAGCTCTAAACTTTCAATAACACCACATTAAGTATAATAATATCTACCTACACTCTCTGGTTGCATTCACTTTTCATGGACAGACCTGACTTTACGACGTTCACACAGTGTATGTGTTTCAGTGTAACACTCCGCACTGCGTTTGGTGTGATTTTGATAAAAAAATACGTTGTCGTTTAACACCTACATGTGGCTATGCATACCTATGTTATTATATTAATATTTCGAGCGACCGTGTTTTTGAATATTTTTTTATTCCGTTCGTTTTAATTTATAGCCAGCATAAACGTGTGAACGATGCACCTCTGTGATACGATATTTCAAAATACAAGATAAAATTATCTGTTGTTTAGTTACCGTGTACATAACGATAACATTGTAAATAGTAACACAGTGATCGTATTTGTAGTAGGTCTTGAATAATGTTATATTCTGATAGTATTATGTGGTTACAATACCGGTGCTGACGTAGCCGCGATAAGAATAATCTCCATGGTAGATAGGTGGTATTAGAAGATCAGTATAAAATATAGGTAGTCCCGTTTTTATTTAATCAACGCTTATTTTATGATCGGTAATAAATAATCGCATTTGAAAATTAAATTGTTTACTAGTAATAGTAATAAACAGACAGAGGATTATAATAAACGTGTTCAACTTTATATAAATGCATGAGTAATAACTATTTCATACCCATTAAAAAAAAAGAAATAAAAACGTGAGTAACTAAATAAAATACTTCTGCAATATGCAAATATAATATAATGTTGTAAGGTATAGTGTATAAAATGAATTAGATACTTGTTTATAAATACCTAAATAAATAACGGTTTATTTTTAGTAGGGATAACCGAATCGTGCAAAATTACCTTAAGGATTTCCATGATTTTGATAAAAATTGGATTTGGAATAGGCAGGCGTAGGTAAACCAAAAATGTTCACAGCTAACCCACTAACCGAATTTAAGACACACGGTAAAAGAAGACTAGAATGTATTGTTGAATAAACTCGAGTTTATTGTCATTCGTGATATTAGTGGACTAGTGGACGAGGTTTATATTTATTTTGTGAACCACCGGTCGAGTTTTCGTCAAACGGGTTAGAATGCTAATTTTTCGAGACTAGTGTTATAGTGGTGTTCATACGGTAAAATAAAACAAGATTCTGTTTAGCATTGTGAATTCTAACGGTATTTTCTTGATGTATTATAACAGTATTAGTTGTCTGGCACAATGCGTTGTGCAACAATCTAAATCGATCCTTTTGTAAGTTGAATGTTATGGGATTTTATAGAATTGGGAAAAAAAGTATGCTATCGAACGTTCTCGATGCAAGCCAAGTAAAAATAATAACAATAATAAAAAAGACTAAATAAATGAGTACCGTGCTGCTGAGATAGGGCGATAATGATAACTGATATAATACATATTTTTTAGCATCAACTGCAGTGGTTATTAGCTTACATAAATATTACATTTTTACATTACCTATATATCACATTTCTTTGTTATTAAGATAAGAAATTATGTTGAGGGGGTTTGAAAATGAACCAATTGCTTCATATAAATTTTCCGGAATGTTAAATTTATTTCTGGCTTTGCCGAAGTTTGGGCAGTGGACGATGAAGTGCTTGGTGGAGTTGTGTGTATTGCATGTTTTAGGCATAAGGGCGGATCTGTCTTTGCCATAAGGTTGTCCATATGTGAATTTTGTGCGGCCAAATCTTAGTCGATTGACAATAATTACCTCTTTTTTCTATTTAGATCTATGCATTTTGGCTAGACTTCAATATATAATATATAATATATGCACTTATTTATATACATATAAATATGCATAAGTGTATTCTCCAAGTACTTAAAAGCTATCACTCTAAACTGTCTAAACTCAAGACCTACAATTGGTTAGGTACCAATGGCAACAAGCTTCGCATTGAATTTACTTATTATTGTATACGAACAACGATCATTGAAGATATAATACTTGTTAAGTTTTCAAACATATCGAAATTATATTTGACTATAATAGTAATAGGACTAATAGGAGTCAGGCGAATAGTCGGTGAGGAATACAGAGTTAGACAACATTTTAATTACTCATTTAAGTTTAAAAAACTATAGATATTAAATACATAATATACAAATAGAAATTGCTGTTACATAAAAATAAAAGTCTTTAGAAGGAGGAGAGGCAATTAGTTGGCAATTACCAACGCTAATTGACAACGACCGGCGACCTACTAAGAAAATCCCGTGGGCAGCAACAAGTATAGGCTAATTCGTTTTTTGATAGCTGATTTAATGGTTTATACCTAAGTACCTACGTAAAACATGTCCATCAGAATATTTTAGTAGGCTCTCTAATATGATATTATGTCATTAATATGTTTTATTTGAAAATCTCATATTTCATCCAAATTAAGAAATAGAATCAAAAATGCTGTATAAAATAGGTATACATATTTTTTGCGTCAAAAATTTACCAAGCAAACGTCGTTATTGTCTGTGATATAGGTAGATTTATTCATATTTTATGGCGTCCGATAAATGAATCGGAATAATTTATGCCGAACACATTTCAGTGTTTTTTCCTGTGTTAATACTTATGTAGATTAACATATAGAATCAAAAATTCCCAAAAAGTATTATTTTTCTTTTGTACTATGGCCTGTGGGGTATTTTTTTGTTTATTTTTTGTTGAGTTTATAATAACGAACACAATACATTACGATAAAGAATTAGTTAGTTTCGATTATTGTGCGAATTCGAACGTAGAGGGAAATAAATGTAGGTGCTCAATGCCCATGGAGCACTTACAAAAATCTGATCGTATAAATGTACAAAGAAAAAGGGAGGAAGAGTTATTTCCATTTGCAGGTATTGGGTATATACATTATATATATACCTAATATGCTATGTAGTCTTAGTCTGCCATTACCTTGCCATTATATTGTATTATATTATTTTTATTGTTGTTATTATTATTATTTCTCGGCGGGCGACGATACAGTGTACAAGCATTTCTTCGCATGGATAATTTGGTACCATTTATAAAGGATAAAATATAATATGAGGATTCATGCCTTACGGCTCTGCGGGATTGAACCGAAAAAATATCTATCGGTGGTAACAATAACAGAAATATTTTACGCTATTGTATCGTCACGAATTTTATATCGTGTGGCTGACCGTGTTCATGCTTAATACACTATGATATTATTATTATTATTATTATTATTATTATTATTTATTATTATATCGTATATACAATATTATACATCGCGATGCACGGCGGCAATGGTCCAATGAATCGACAACGACGACGCACGTTTAGAAAAAAGAATAATTTTCGTTCGTCGTTGTCGTCGAGGTCAAAATAATAATCACGAGTAGTGAACAGAAATGTAGGAAAAAAAACTAACCAACAATAATAATACCGCCAACGACTACGGTCGACCGATCGGCAGCCGTCCGCCCCCCTTAAATTTGTATGCAAAATCTGTGTGTTGTGTTGCGTAATTCGTACGAAAGACACGTATTCGCGTGCATGTGCGTGTAATAATGATACGTGTATTATACGATAATATTCGCGCGGATGATGCTGAGGTAAAGTTTCAAAACGAAAATGTCATTATAATATTATTTATATCATTGTTAAACAGTCGCGACATGTGAGTGTAATAATATTATAATAATGCGTAATAATATATTATGTATATAGTATTATGCTGACGAGTAACGTCAACGGAACGGTTCACGTTTTTTTGTCTTTATTTTTTAAATCGGCGAGGACATCACCCTCTGAGGAAAAACGACACGTCACATGATAATTTTTGCGACGCACGCGAGAGACAGCCGTTAAACGTCGTAGATTTTCGCAACGGGATCGGAAAGAAAGTTGTTTCGCACCGGTGGAATTACGAGTTTTGTTTATGTATTTATTTTTTTCATGGGTATCGAATGCTGTCGTCTCCGTCGCTGTTGGTTCGATTGTAAACAAATAACGGACGGCATAATATTCTATTATTTTCGAGATTATTTTTGAGTCGACCAGTTGCAATATCCAAACAAACAAAAACCAGGAAAGTTGTTCTGCTGTTTACGGTGTACCTCGTCATTGCAATATCTTCTATATTTTAAATTTTTTTAACAACCTATAAGATATAGCTTGTATTAGAAACTTAAATATTGTATTAAATTGTTAATATTTTTGACTTCAATTCGCTACCAAAAACCACCCTAATTATTGAAGATCAATACATTTTTTTCTGGTTTGCAAATTATTTTAGACACATCAATTTTTTAATAAACATATTATTGTATAACCAGAATTTAATAGACAAAAACATGGCTGGATCATATGTTATTTTGCAACTTCTACATCTCATGGGCGGCACACGGTCATGGCTCATTTTAAATCCTAAGCGGAGCGACGAATATATTGGTTTTACTGTGATGTTTGTATGGTTTCTGCTTTGGGGTCAAAAGTAAAAAATTCTGATTACTTTTTAAAGTAATCAGAATTAAACAACAACAAAAAAGGGGAAAGTAGGTAACCGCTCTGCTGCAGTACAGTGCCCAAAAGTGTCTAGTGTGCCTCGTCATTGTAATATATGTATTCAATTTTAAGTCAATGGTACATCATTGCATATAGGTACGAATATACAATAACGATTCTGAGCGAAGGCGGTCGTCTGCCTATATTTACTAT